TTGTGTGCGTGTGTATGTTTGTGTGTGTGTGTGTCTGTGTGGTGTGTTCTCCGTAAACAGGGTGACGTCTTTGTTCGAGTTTAATAATTTATCGCTCTTTTTTTTCCCTTTGAGAAAAAACATGACCACCTTGTCAAGGCTCCGTTCTATTCTGGGCGGCATCAGTTTGGTCCTTTCTGTGTTGGCACTCTCCTGATTTCCAATACTTTGCAGTGTTTGCTCCCAGTCACACCTCCTTGTTTGTCGCATTTCATAGTGTTTGTTGCCCTGAGCACTGTTATGTTCCAGCGATTGATACATTTGGAGAAACTTGTTCAGTGGGCACATTTTGCATGACCAATAATCAGTCAGAAATTCAGAATAGAATATGTCAGCGTGATTTGTCAAAGGATGGACGGTGTATCTTATGACACAATATTTCTTGAGAATCGCCGACAACTCCTGTGTTGAACACCTGCACAACTGTGCATGTTTCTCTTCAGCTCTGTTTGCAGTCCTCTGATTCAGTCGGCATGCCCAGGTACAACCAGGTGTTCCAGTACCTTCTGCGTTTGAAAAGGATTCAATTGGAGCTGGAAAAGACCTGGGCATTGGCAATGCACAGGGACAGGCGGGACTTTGTGGCCAGGAGGAGGAAGGAGGCCGGCAATCTGGAGAGAAGGAATGAACAACAATACCAGAGAATGTCCATGTGGCAACTGAGGCAGCATATGACATACTTGATAACAAACCTACAGTTCTACATCCAGGTAATATTTGTGTAGCTCTGCTAGATTCATTCTTTTGGAGACTCTCTCCTTTTCAGAAGGCCCTAAAACAACCCTTTGAGATGAGGATTTGTAGTCTGAGGTTTGTTACTTTTCCTCTTTCACTTTTTCGGATGAAAAAATGGTGCTCGCTGACTCACTCTCATGCATCCATGTCGGGTAACTGTAAATGGACCACGACGTGGCAGCGTCAGCCTGCAATTGTTTGCGATAAGCCGGAGGGAGGTTGATGGTTTTCTTTGCGGAGGAAGCACTCACTAGCCACCATCTTCCATCAAACTCAACTCTTTCCATCATGAAGAGCGAGTGTACCGAACCAGGACAGGAACATGTATACATTCATGATGACGAGGCATTGTGTTTCGAGGAAGCTGGTAGCTTTCATGCATCCAGGTCCCTAATTGCATTCGGATGAGCTCTAGCGTAACGCCATCAACATTGGGGAATGCAAGGAAACCGCTGTCAAGACACGATGTCGTAATTTATTTGAACTCCATGCTGGAGGTCAACACCGCGGAATACTTGTATGAGCGCCCTACTACTCTGCTGCAAACGTATGAAATCACATAGTTCATCACGAAGTCAGCAGTAAGCGGCAACCGAAGAAAATTTCCAAATATTAAAAGCTATGAGAAATCTGCTGCTCGTCTCGGTACTTTTGCCTGAATTATCTGAAGCCGATGGCTTGGCTCTCGTTCACCATGCAGGCATGCTCCTTAAAAGGGCCACTACCTTTCTCACTGTGACGCTAAGTCGCATGCTGAGCCTCATCTAAAAACATTGCCGCCGGGCGGCCGTCGATAATTTTCACCGGCGGCGCCCGGCCTCCGAATTTGGCTTCGGAGGCCCATGGCCCCGTATATGAGGAAGGTAGTAGCCGCTTAACAGGCGTAATGGAAAATTTGCTGCAATCCTGGCAAGTGCAATGTTTGCGAGTCTTTCTCTGTGCCATTTCCCAACTTCTTGCATTCCGTGAGTGTTCGTGTTGACTGATCTTGTGGTGATATTGGCATAGCATCGCTTGGCTGGTCTCATTAACCTTAGCTAGTTTTTGGTCGTAGTCCTTAGCAAGTCTTGGAACGTCCTCGGATGGGGTTTACAGTTGTTGCCATTCTGCACTTGTGGGATGCAGGTTGATGTGATAGAATCGCAGTCAAAACTGCTTCAAGAGCGCATTGAGGCGTCGAAAGACTTCACTGAATTGACTAGATTTCACCAGGAGTAAGTGCTTTCTTTTCCCATACTCAAGATGATCAACATGTCTCTTTTGAATGTCACCAAATTCTTTGAAGCCTAATGAGCCCCTCTGGAACCTGCTTGGCAGAAAGTGCTCGGCGTGCCACAACCTCGTGCCTATGCACATTGCACTGCGCACCCAGCTATTTAGCACTGCATGCTGACCTCTCCTTGCATGACAAACTTTTGGACTGGTCAAACGGCAAGGCCCTCTTGACTACGTATGAGAAAAACTCACAGCGGTGGTGCAGCATGTAACTTACGGGGAATCAGCACCAGGGCACTACTGGTGGGGCCCACCGGTACCAATTGAGTATACCAGAAAAGGAAATGGCGCTGACAGACAGTCAGACAGGCACACACACAGAGACAGAGAGAGAGAGAGAGAGAGAGAGAGAGAGAGAGAGAGAGAGAGAGAGAGAGAGAGAGAGAGAGAGAGAGAGCCTGTTTGTCCGGTTCACTTAGCAAAAGCACTTCTCAATCTCTGGCGAACTGATCCGTCAACTCTGGTAGCAAAGAGGCAAAAGGTTCACTCCTCCCTGTTGTTGCAACATGATGTTACGATCCTGGTCATTTCCCAAGTGCAAATTCACAATGAAAGACAATGCCACCCAATTGCGAAAGAAATGAAAGCACTTGCAAGAGATA